GCTTCCCCACAGTGTTCGCTTACACGGGCATTAGGCCACGCCCCCAAGGAAACGTCCTTTCAATTGCATCAGGCATGTACCCGAGTAACGGGGTTATACTCCATCGCCATCCGCCCATTACTACTTGGCTGCTGACAGCAGATTCCATCAAGGAGTTGATTGTATTAAGCTAGGTCACATCATGGGGAATTTACTGGGTCTCAACTGCCAAACCACTGAGAATCCTGGCTCAGCCAAGCGGACCACAAAACCTAACTATCACACCCACTAACGTTTTCAGCCACTCAAGTTTCTTCAAAAGCTGCTGTTCCGGTTGTGGTACATACTACTGCTTGACCAAACCAAACGCATGGCCACCGAGTCCATTTGACTCAGAGTGACCCTATAGGGAATGGTGAAACTTCCCGAGGCTGGAACTCTTTCTCAGAGTACAGAGCCCCAGCTGTCTTTTAAGGATTGGCTGGTAGTTTCGAACTGCTGACCTTGAGGTTACAGGGACCTGTAGAACTGATGAATCAGAAGAAAAGGGTCTTATGCCACCAGTTTTACCATCAGAGTCCACTTGGGACATATATCTCCCACAAAATTATATCAAAATCCATACTACCTGAAAAAAAAGTTTTGATTTTGATTTTAGCCTGCCTCCCAAAGTAAAAAATGCATGGCATCAATTTTAAAAATGCCAAACAGAAAATAATTCGGTCATATATGGGACTGCTAAAGTAGCCCACATGGCTTCTAAGGAAAGGTTCTGATGACTTAACAGATTTGATAACATTTCTGTCTTCAGAGCAAATGCACGACTACAAGTAAGACGACAAAGTCCAATTTAAATGAACAAAGTACGTCAGCTTCTCTTTGTGACTGAAGAGATCAGGCATAAGTGGATTGAGGATGGAAAATAGCATTTGAAGGCAGTTTCAGAGGTGCGAGTAATACAAACAGTCCCGGTTCTTACAGACTGATTATAAGGGAATCCCAAGAGACACTCTGGCATCTCAGAATTTCTGCACTCCCACCTACCTGATTCGTTCTTTGTAAGGGGAGTGAACGAGGCACAGAGGCTTATGTTTATAGGAAACACATGGGCCTTAGAGCCAGCTGGACGTACACTTGAATCCCAGATCTGCAGTTTTCTAGGACTGTGGTCTTGCAAGTTACTTAGTCCATGAGGTCTGGGTTTCTACATCTGCTAAGATGGGATGCCTACCTTGCAAGGTGATTGTAAGAGTTACAGGTAGCATGTATTATGTGCTTGGCCCATGGGAGGTTCTCAGTAAATGCAGCAAACACCAACAATAAGTCTTAATAAAAACAATAAAAAATATTGCCAATTGCCAAGATAGTAAGAGCCGGGGCCTGTGTAAGTCTACATCAGTATATATTAGCTGTCTTTTCTACATAAAGTTGATATCATATTTAACAGAGAATTTCCTTGATCTCTTTTCTCTCAGCTAGGTAAGACCTGAATGGCTTCACTTCAGCTCTTCGTTTGATCCAGTTACTTCATGTCTCTCTACGTGAGCTGTATGAGGAGGAGACCAGCAGGGTTTCTCTCATGCACTTGGGGGGGGGGGTGAGCGAATTCTTTCATGCACACCTAATACATGGATGGCACACTGTAAGAATTCAAAAAGCACTCGTTGGGGGTGCTGCTGCTGCTGCTGTTTTAGTCACTGTCTTAAGGACCAGGACCAACCACCTGGGTAAAAGCGCCGCCCACCCATAATGTTGGCTAGCCGTTGCAGACAGCAAGAGTATGGAAACACCTGAGATCTGGAGACCGCACTGCCGACTAAAGAGCTGGAATCATAAAGGGTGAGAAGGTAGCTCAAGAGCAAAACCAAAATTGCACTGTAGATTACAAAGGAGTGTGATCAATTAACTGGTAATCCTAGTAGGGACCCAGGGTTCCCAAAGTGCTCAGCCTTAAGAAGAGTGTGTGCATGTCACTGAACCTTTTACATTTTAAAGAGGGGGTGGGGGGTGGGGTAGGGTTGGGTTTGAAGAAGGGGAGGAAGGCCAAGATAAATCTTATTTGCTTTTCTCCTTTCTCAGAAATTTTCTTCCTCCTACCCCACACCCTGGCTTTCCATTAAAAAAAAAAGTTTTGAAAAGGTCAAAAAAGCAGCAGTCATCTTTGCTGTATTGCTTCCCAACACACAACTTAAAAAACCAGCCACCTAGCAAATGTCATAAAGCAGGATTGCTGTACCCATAAACCATCCAAGAAATAGCTACTCAACCAGAGCGTTCCAATTTGCCGAGACATCCTAATCCTGCTGCTCTGGGTGTGGCCTCGTAGGCAGGCATGGAGAGGCAGGGCTTCACAGGGCTGTCTCCAGCATCTCCTGGATTAGAACCATGACGTCTGAAGTGGGGTGAAGCACGGGGCGCTTCGAAGGCCTGTCTGTGTTCTGAGGTCTAGCGCACCCGCTTCCTTGTACCGGGCCAGGTAGCTAGCTGCCCGGCAGCTCTGAGAACAGGAAGTTGGGATGAACTTGAGAGAATCCATTTCCCGGGACCGGTGAGGAACCAGAGGCATGTTTTTCAACAACCCCGCGGGTTTGTGGCTCTCCCCTCAAGAACGGTCACTTCAGCAGTCACTTCATTATGTTTCCACTGTAAATGACACACAGGCTTGGGCCAACTCAGCACCGAACTGCCCTCTGGAATTCAGCGGGGGTTAGGTCATCTGCACTCTATTGACCACTCAAAACCCAGAATGAGGCATCTCAGCAACAGTTTGTGTCCTGCCACTAATGAGCCCCTTTTTTCCATGAACAACGAAGGAGAATATCCTCTCTGTTGCCAGGTAGGCAACATAAACAGAGCTCAACACAAGGGCCTTGGTAGGGTGAACTTGTCCATTTGCAACAAAGGAATTCCGCAAAGTGCGAGCCAAGTTTCAGTGGAGGGTGGGACAGGCTTTTGTAACAAATAATGTGAACATATGTTATCAGAATCTAATAAATCAGCTGTTGGTTACTGTGGAACAGAGACTGTGCGGTGAGACAGAAATGGCAGAGAGCTCCAAATGAGTTCATTTCTTTATTTTACAATCAGTCTGAGCACACAAGGCTGATGATTTCTGCAATGAGCTGAGAGTCCCACGAAGCAGTCTTGTGATCCTGAGGGTTCCATTGGTGAAACCGTGATTTCATAAGCCTTGATATATCAGTGTAGTACCAATTGGCAGTGGGGCTGGGAACACTGGACCTTTGCTAGGGCACTGGTGTTGACAAGGAGGCATCTGGGAAAACACAGGGTGCCCTGTGCCCATGGGCCTGGGCCTGGGTTTCTATGACTCCAAGAGAACGTCAATGCATGAGCATTCGCCTAGAGCATCGGCTCCCAGCTTCGTCCCCTAAGCTCAGTCGCGGAGTGAGCCTCCAGTGTACAAACAAGAATAAAAGTGAGCTGACCAGAGGGCCAAACAGCGAGTATCTTGTTTACTTTCAAGTGCTCCATCAACTCATTTCTCTCGCTCTAAAATGAGCTCCAGACTAGGCAGCATATGTCTTGTTACACAGGGCACTTGGGTTCGCAGAGGCAAAGCAGGACCATCGTTCGCTGATGGCTGGGTGTTTCCATCAAGGTGAACAAGAATGAAAACAGAACAAAAACAGAAGCAGCCTCAACACAAGGGCCTTTGGATGGTGAATTTGTCCATTTGCAATAATGGCTCTCAGTTCTTCCAACGGTCAGGGGCAACAACTCCATCTCATTTCAGAGTTCACTGATGAGAAGATGTATGTCGCAAATAAACTCCAAACAGTACAGTCTGCACTGTCTATTTGAGAAATTCCTGGAAATCTGTGAACTGAATAAATGACTTGTAACCACCAAAGCAGCTTACTACAGAAATCACCTTTTGTTAGAGCCAAGAATGAACGTAAAGAATTAACTCTAACATCCATAGACAAGCGAGTTCCTGGAGTAAGATAGAATCATCTGAAGTTCTGAAGAGATTCTGGTAGCTAAGTCATGGCAGGTAATTAGGTAGGCGGGGTCATGTACAATTCATCA